ACACTCTTTATCATACTAAAAAAATGAACAAGGCATTTCACACAAAAATTATTTGAAATGTCGTAATAAAAAATGAATTAAACCGAGACCCGCTAATTATATAAAAAAATTACCAGAGCTTTTTCTATAAATGAATTTGTGTTCATAATAAATGAATTTCATTTTGGCTATCGATTTTTTATTAATCTGTACAACATCTTTAGGAAGATTCAATGAATTTTTGGAATCAATGTAACATTCAGTAATTATCTTGCATTTTTAGAAAGGATAAAATATGGTGAGTGTGGATCAAAATAAATAGATTTCTATTCAATGAATCATATGATTATTTTAGCATAAAATTAAGGAGCTTTATTTTGGAACTTATATCTTAAAGTTAACAATTACGTGTATGAAATTTCCAAATTTAGTAATAAAATATTTTTTGACGGGAAATAGTTACTATTTTATAAATAATCAAATCTTTTTATATAGATATAGATATAGATTGCGCAGATACACATTAGTTTGGAGTGTATGACAAGTAGTATTAAGCAACTTTTAAGATTATAATAGATAGGGTCACGCTCCTGTGAGAATGGTGCTCAATGAAAGAAATAAGAATGAATCTTAGCCGTTAGATTGGATGATCAAATGGCTAAAAAAAAGTCAAAATTATATATTCATTAAGGGTAATTTAGACATTACAATTACACATCACCATGCCACATCACCATCCACACACCCACAACACACGCACAAACACACACAACACACGCACACGCACACATCAGCCACACAAACACACGCACACACTCTGCACACCTCTCTCTCTCTCTCTCTCTCTCTCTCTCATACAAACACACACACACACAGAAGGCTAGAACGGCGCACGCCACCGGCCACTCTACACAGCACCGCCGCACCTACCGATCCCGCTGCCGTCGCCGCTCGTCGACGGTCGAGAACGCCAGTGCCGGCGCCGCCCTTTTTTATCCACCGACCCCCGCCGCTCAAATCCGACAAGAAGTTCGTCTCCTCCGGCGAGACACACGGCGGCGCCTGTACCTGACGGTCGACAGAGATGTCACACCGGCGGGCCGTGGCGTCGGAGATGTCCTCACGGCCGGCGTCGCGGAGGATTGTTCCAGGCAGGACGACGACGCACACACACCACACCTGCACACAAAACACGCACACACACGCACCCAGCCGCTCCAGACAGCAGACCACCGCCGTCAAGATGCCGCCGACAAAGACACGGCATCACACACAGACACACGTGACAACACACAGCAGACACATACACACACGGTCTGACCACCCATCCCCCCGATCCAACCGGGAGCGCCGTTGCAGCCGGAATTCAAACATCGTTGCAGCCTCAGCAACCGCCGTTAGCCGCCGCACACCACCATACACCGCCACACACACACACGAACACACAAGCCTGAACACACAATGAAACACACACATATACACACACGAACACGCCGAATCGGAATTCCCTAATCTCCGTCGAATCGGAGGTCCCCAATCTTTGCCGAATCGGATTTCACCAATTTCCGTGGCCGCAGATGATTTTATCCCCCTGCGGAAGACAAAGAGGTGTGCGGGCATTCAGAAATTGGGAATTCCCAATTGGGATTGTTTCTTTTTTATAAATTTAATTAATGCTAAGGGCTTAATTGAAATTTAAGAATTTTTAATATATTTTAATTTAGTCTATGGGCTAAATAAATAATTTATAAGAATTCATACATAAATATTATTGTTTAATAGCTTCTATACATTTATATTAAATTAACTAATAAATATATTGAATAAAAATAATACAACATATAAAATTATAAATATTTTTTTATAATATAAATAATAAATTATTTCAAGTATTTTGGTAAATTCATTTGACCAATCGATTAAACTACTTACCTGGTTTGATTTTAGATTGAATTTGCGCATAAAAAACTCTCACTGCAAAATGCAGCTTAGTGACTTTCAGGCTGCACATTAGTGTTAGAATGAATGCACATTAATGAGCTTGAGAGCGCACGTTAGCATAACAGTGTGTGCATTTTCGCAATTATTAAAATTTATGTTATTTCAGTACAGTTTCGGTTTTATTTACAAGAAAAAAAATAAAAAAATGAAAAATAACATAATTGATTGAATTATATAAAAAATATTATTTATAAATTATACATGTATATATATTGTTTATTTGAAAAATCAATAATATAAAGTATTAAATAACTAAATATAATTACTAAATAAAATTTTATTATATAAATAATTTAATAAATGCACAATAATGTTAATTAAAATACATTTATATATATATATATAAATATTTTTTTTTTAAATGAAATGCCCAATAATGTTCGGTTTCGATTTGGTTGAGACGAAAGTTTGATCCGTTCACACTGCACAATAGCGGTCGAAACATTGCACAATAGTGTTATACAAATTGCACTTTAATGTTCGTCTGATTGCACAATAGTTTAGGTTTTATTTATGGAAAAAAAAATTAAAAAAAGCAAAATAACATAACTGATTGAATTATATAAAAAATATTATTTGTATATTATACCTGTATATATATTATTTATTTGAAAAATCAATAATATAAAGTATTAAATAACTAAATAAAATTTTATTATATAAATAATTTGATAAATGTACAATAATGTTAATTAAAATACATTATATATATAATGTCTTTTTAAATGAAATGCACAATAGTGTTCGGTTTTAATTTGGTTGGGACGAAAGTACACTGCACAATAGCGGGCGAAACATTGCACAATAGTGTTATACTAATTGCACTTTAATGTTCATCTGATTGCACTCTAAATTTTTTCAAAGCTAAAAAACACATAAAACATAAACCACTCAATAAACTACACAATAAGCTTATACTAAAATGCACATTATTATATGTAGAAACGCGCATTGTCAATTCGGATGTTTCATATGGCCTTTTCAACACAAAATAATAAAAAAAATATTTTTAATAATTATGTATTTTAAAAAAAAAATAATATGGTTTATAATGTGCTTGAAAATATGCAATATTGTGCAACTCATGTGTTATTAATGTGCAATAGATTGAACTTTTGATACATTACAAAATTGCCCCACCTATTAAAATTCAACATAGCCACATTTTATAATTGCACTAAAGTCCCTCCAAATTGTCTAATTTTCAACAAGAAGCCCCCACAAAAAAAAAAAGGAAAAAGTCCCGTGACTAATATGCGCACACATATAATACACACACGACGCCCGACACCCCTCGCCGCCATGTGCCAGCGTGCAGCCGCCGGCATCGTCTCCAGCGAGCTCGTCCATCCAAGCGACGTCGGGTCTATCTTGCTGGCTGGCCGGAGTTTTAGGCGGACGACGACGGGGATGACTGAGGACTGGGCTGACGGAGGGTCTATCTCGCTGGATGGCTGAGCTTCGCCGGACGGTCGCATCTCTGAAAAATGTTGAACTCTGAAGCGGCGGCCGGCGATTGGTGGCGGATGGCGCCGGAAGGCGGACGGCCGGACCTATGGATAAACTTGATGTTACGGCTACAGGCGGCGAGAGATGGCGAACGGAGACGGGCGGTGACTGCACGGCGGGGTTACGGCGGGGATGGCGTCCATTTCCCGACGGCGTCCATCATGATGACGATGCGACCGGGACGGCGGGGCTACGGTGGGGATGACGTCGGCATCATCTAGATCGGCAAGCCTCAGGTCGCCGGCGAAGTAGGTGGCCGGCTGGCGGCGGCGGCGACGATGGGGCTACTGTGTGTGTGTGTGCAGCTTGTGACGTTCGAGCAGGTTGTGGCCCCTGGTGAACTTTGTGTGTGTGAGTGTGTGAGAGAGAGTGGAGGGTTTGGTAGTGATGGGCCCCACGTGGTGTGAATGAGGATGTGATTGTTTAATGACCAATGTGTCCTTACTTAATGGTCAATTTTATAAATCTGACTACTAATTGAACTCTTATTTACAAAACTGCCATTACATGTTTGACTACATATTTAATATTTGACTTGATCATGACCATTGGTATGTTGGATCCAATGATCCAGAATCATTCTTATTTCTTTCACTATCTACCATTCTCATGTGATCCTAACCCATAATAGATATTTATTAACTAATTTAATTCCCAGCATTTTGACTTTTACATGTTATTCGTATTCGCTACACAATGTTCCATCTCTTAGTTAACTTTCCTATCAAAATTCCTTAAAAAGCTAATGGTGCCAAAAGTCCTCCCGTAAAGCTCCTAAACCTTGCGAGCTCACAAAAATTACCGGACAAGTTTGGTATCTGCCCAAAGTTAATGAGGATATTTTATAATTTTGGCTATTAAACAAATTAGGTTGAAGGACAACAAATCCCTTGATTATATGTGTCTTGTCTTGGATCAGACGAGGGTGGACTATTTTTTATGATAAGTTTCCCCAACTATTTCTTGCGTAAAATCTTCAATCCTCAACATAATTAGTCTGTCCCTTTTAGGTTCTTTTTTTATTTTTTATTTTTTTTTAGTGGCAACCGCGTCCCTAATAGATTCTAGCTCTAGAAATTTGCACTCTTTTTGAACGATTAGTCAATGGTTAGAATTTTGGAAATTGGGGAGCGCAAGTCTTGAAGGGATTTCTGTGTTTGGATCAAATTCAGAAAAATTACAATTATTATCCTGAAATTTAGTAACTGTTCTACATACATATATCCTCTATTTATATTGAGTTTTCGAATTTCGAACCTTAAATCAAATTTGCAGTTTTGGCGTTCATCCTTATTGAATCATATATGTGGATTAGTTTCTTGTATTAGAAGAGAAAATGTGAATCAAACTGAATTCAAATCCATTTAACTAAACCAACTGGACAGTGGACAACAAAAACCCCGCTATAATCCAATTTACACCCAAAAATTTATATATAAAACACATTCCAAACCATATCAAACAAGCA